CTCTCCCTCTCTCTCTCTCTCTCTCTCTCTCTCTCTCTCTCTCTCTCTCTCTCTCTCCCCCCTCTCTCTGTATATTGATATATGCAAAGATAAATGTACATACATATATTCTGTAAAATGTCCCTAAAACTGGACTTTGAATGTCTGTAACTCATGACTGTTATCTTTTCAAATTTTTCTTCTTATATTTAATTATGATGTCTTCTCTAAATTAGGAATGTGATTCTTCCATGAGGGATTCTGATGGAGAAAGATTCTATGGCTCTAGGTCATTATTTTACTGACATGTTTCATATGGAACATGTTGGTGTGGTTTAAAGCTTCAGAAATAATTTTCAGAACATAATATGTGAAGTAGAAAATTAATGAAAATTTCTAAAGACAATCAAATTTGAATAATCCTTCCTTTGGAGAAAATTTAGTATATTATAAATATTTTTATCATTCTTTTCACATGTTATTCTAAACATAATATGATTCTAGATTGAGATTATAGTTTCACACCAAATATAAGTCTGTTTAACTGTCCTAGGTTTTCCATCTACCTTTTATCTGTTCTACTTTCTGAATTAAATGCAGGATTTAAAATATTTGTGGTACATTTATTTAAATGTCTTTATGCTGACTTTCTTAAAGCAGTTTACAAAAACACGTTAAACTATAAAATGATTTTTAAAATAAGTAAAGTTGCTAAAAAACACAGCTTTTTAAAGTTCAACTCAATATATTAATTAAAAAGAAATAAGTTTTAAAGGCTTGTGTAAGAGATAGCAAAAATTAAAGACGTAGTCCTTGAACAACAATTGTAATGGAGCCTGTCCATATGGTTGCAAGTCATAATAGTTGTTAAATGAAGAACCCATGTGCTTGCCTTGCTTAAAGCCCCATCCCTGTTTTCCCCATGGGGATGTAAAGCAACCGCACAGCTAATTTCTTGGAGCATGGGGTGCTTCAGGAGCGGAAAAGACCCTGGGAGGCATAGTTCAAGCCCTGTTCCAGGCCTCCCAAGGCTCCCCCAGCCCTTGGTTCACTTCTCTCCCATCAGGGTCTCTGCAAGCCTGGGCCTGCTTCCCACCCAGTCAGGACCACATGCCTCTCCCCACCCCCATAACTGATCGCTTACTTGGAAACTCCAAACTGGCATTGGAGAAGGAGAGCAAGGTGCTCTGTCCCTTGGCTGTGTTGCTCCTTTCTGGAAGCGAGTGCCATTTCAGAGTGGTCACAATTCAAAATCTTTCTTTCTAGTCCGGGGCAAAAAGGGGAGGCTACATACTGTGGGGAGAAACCAGTTCTGCACTGCCCTCTCCCAGATACCACAACAGTTTCAAACCATCCATACCAAGACTTTGAAAAAGCAAGGACAAGAAAGTAGTTTGTGCTGGTATGAATGCAACATCATTAGAGGCATGTGCAGGAACAAAATGAGGAATAAGGCATCACTGAGTGAGTTGGAGTGGAGGGGGATAGTCATGTGGCTTCCATGTGAATGACATCAAATTCCGCATCATAGGCCAGCCATGTGAAGCTCCATGGTTTTCCAGCAATTTCATTTGGTACTAAGCAGCAGTGAGGAGAAATTGAAAGCCTGCCAACTTTGCCTCTACTGATTGACTCCCTTACATATCCACTCTCCTTTCTGTCCATGTTCTCCTCCTCCTCCTGATCCTTCTCTGATCTAGTGTGTGTGAGCAGTGTCATTCCCCCTCTGGTGCCAGTTTCTAGTAGATGAAGATCCTGTTTGACTGTCAATAACTTGCAATCATCAGTAAGCAAGCTTCCACCCCCTTCTCAGCATATTATTCCCCAGCCCTGCAACCAGCATGTTCAAGGCTGGTTCTCAGATACTAGAGGACTGTCTTGTTTTTCCCCCTCTTGCTTGTCATTGGGAGGAAAGAGCAACCTCTGGTTAGCAAAGAGAAAGAGATGACAGAAGAATAAGCTGGGGAGGGGTATTGAAAACCATCCTCCCTCCCTAGAATTCTTGCCAGCATTCCCATTTACTTTGCTCATGGGAAGCTTATAGGGAGAAAGTGTAAAAGTCCAGTGCCCACAGGCAGGTAAGTCGCTGCTGTGGGAGTGCAAATTGGGAGTAATGCTTTGGAGTGCGAGAAAGGTGCTGCATGGGTCAGAGAAGTCATGTAGATGGCAATATGGGCTACAAGGTATACATGGTAATTCATTCCTCCCTGTTCCTCCTTTGCTTCCTTCATTCCCTCCTTTCCTCCCTCCCCATTTGCCCTATTCCCATGGTGGCGAACCTATGGCATACGTGCCACCTGTGGCACGCAGAGCCCTCTCTGTGGGCACGTGCGCTTTCGCCCCAGTCCTAGGCCTTCAGTCCCATCTATGAGCAACCTGCATCAAAATCTTCCTGGGCAAGTGGCTTTATATAACCTTTTCGCTTTAGGTCTCCGCCACCGTGTGCAAAAAAAAAAAAGTTCAACCAATCAATCCATTTCAACTTCTCGCAGGAAAAAAAAGACCTCGCAAAGTTGGAATTGATTGATTGAACTTTATTTTTAGTCCCACACAGTGACGGAGGAAGTGACGGGAGAGCTGGAAAGAAGGTGCCACGTCGGAGCTGGAAAGAAAGTGCCGCATGAGGGTGGGAGGAAGTGGCGGGAGCAGGACACTCCGTGCGAGGGTTTGGTCGGGGCGGCAGGAACAGGGCACTCTGCGGGGGTTGGGTCGAGGCGGCGGGAGCAGGACCCTCTGTGCAAGGGTTGGGTCGGGGCGGCAGGAGCAGGGTGCTCTATGAGGGTTGGAGTGGGGCGGCGGGAACAGGGCCCTTTGCGGGGGTTGGGGCGGAATGGCAGGAGCAGGGCGCTCTGCAAGGGTTGGAGCAGGGCGGTGGCAGCAGGACGTTCCGTGCGAGGGTTGGGGTGGGGCAGCAGGATCAGTACGCTCCGTTCGAGGGGTGGGTTGGAGCGGTGGTGATGGAGCGCTTCATTGGGAAAGTAGTGGCTGGCGGCGGGGCACTTCTCACCGCGTTTTTACCCCCGACCTTTAAACCATTTTTAAAAACACAAAAGCTGTATCACGGAAAAGCCAACCCATGGCTGAATGGAATACGACGTCCTCCTTGAACTTACCATCTTACCGAACGTCAGTAACAACCCCACAAAACCCCCACCCCAGTAGTGGGATTCATTCTATAGAACCAGTACCTAATTTATTTTGAGTTTGGAGAACCAGCCCAGAAATGGCCAGACTAGCGTGCATTCACGTGCTTCCAATCTCTTCCTTCCTTGCTGCAATCTGGCTTTGCAGCAAGCAAGGTGGTTGGATGCAGGTGAATGCACGCTAATCTGGCATCTTAAAAAAAAACACGTTTTTTTTCTCTGCTCCTGACAGTGAAAATCCTCCACTTTACCTGAGACTGGGTTTTTTTTCTCCACTCGATGTTCGTTGCCAGACTGTTCTACTTGATGCAGAATGGAAAGAATCCGCATTTTGCAGCAAGTAAACTTTAAAGAAAGTTTAAAAATGTGGCACAGAAAATCCTCCGCCTTACATGGGATTAGGGTTTTTTTCTCCGCTCCCCTTGGCTGTCCTCTGCCAGACTGTCTGGCAGCAAAAAGCCAAGGAGAGAGGAGAAAATCCTACCCTTACGTGGGGTGGGTGTGTTTCTCTGCTGTCCAAGGTTTTTTGCTGCCAGCAAGTAAACTTTAACATTTAAAAAGTATGCCAGAGAAAAATCCTCCACCTTACGTGGGATGGGGGGAGGGTTTTTCTGCTCTCCAAGGCTTTTTGCTGCCAGCAAGTAAACTTTACACAAAGTTTAAAAAGTAAGGCAGAGAAAATAATCCACCTTACGTGGGATCAGGGGTTTTTTTTTTGCTCTCCTCGCACACCTCAGTACCTACCACGGCTGCCAGCCAATCGCGTAGGTCCATTAGGCCACTGCCCAGAGCTGCACGCCAGCGCAGAACAAAGGAGGTGAAGTGGTCAGCTAGAAAGCCCCACTTAGAGGTGGTAGAGCATGCCCAGGGCCAGCAGGCAAAAGGCCACCCCGAGCGGAGAAAGCTGGATCCCCCTCGGCGTCATGGCTGCCCAGTCCCAGTAGAGATGAGGGGAGGCACACAAGCCTGGGGGGCCATGGCGCTGATGGAGATCCGGCTTTCCCCGCTTGGGGTGGCCTTTGGCTTGCTGGGTGTGGGCGTGCTCTACCACCTTTACTCAAGCTTGCTAGC